ATGTATGTATAATCTTCACATTTGCGGTTGCTGGTGGAACCTCGGATGTGATTCAACAAATGTACGTGCTCACTTATTAATAGGTATGAGTTGGTATCGACCATCAGCGGAAACAAATATGAACGGAGACGCACGCAGTGGTAGCGGTATGCTACTTGGCGATTCGCCGGACGATTCTGACAACGACATGAATTTTGATAGTGAGAGAGGAGATCCAACGATGCATTCCACAGCAGATGTGCTTTCCTACTACTCTAGAAAAGGTATGCGGCTCATGGCGTATTACAGGGATGACACACTCGTTTAGAAAAGTTGTATGTAATCCTGGCATGTCATAGTGTACTAGCTCTTTTTACTGAACGGACGATACAATTCCTCTACCCAGTTCGTCCTGCGGCGTTGGAATTGTCATTATTGGAATCTCGCCTTGTTATTTATGTGGGTATCTCCACACCCTTCGTCAGATTCTCGAGATAGAGACGGTTGTAGCAGTCGCAATGCCGGCGTGGCCTTTATCGTCATGTCCGTGCTGGGGCTTCTATTCGGTTTTATTATTATCTCACGCAACGCGCTGCACGGCGAGGCTGGCGTATTGGAGTCCGAAGATCGAGAGAATCTGACCCATCTGCTGCCGAATGCGAGTATAGACGATTCCAAGGTGTTCACCTCCATAGTCACTAGCACGGTTCTGGTGACGGCCACCACAGAAATCACCGAAACAGTATGATTTCTTGGTGTCGAAGTGATGAGTTGTAGGCTCTATGTGGAGTGTTAGTGTGATGTGTATGAAAGTAGATATTTTAACTCAGAAAATGTGTACTTGCGCCTTGCTCCCGCACCAACACGGGACAAGGTGAATGATAGACAACAATTTAGAATCGAAAAAGAAATGTTGTACTGTTATATATTGCATATACCTATACATTCTTGTCCGCAATTCGACTCGAAAGTCATATATATATACATACATACACACACACACACACACACACACACACACACACACACATATATATATATATACTATATATATATATATGTAGTATTATTATATA